AGCAGGAACACGTGTGTCCTGGGACAGGGGAGGGCTGGGCCTTGGTTGAGGGGTGGGGGCAGGCCCTCCGGGCAGGGGGCAGGGCCCTGGGTGTCTCATTCTCTAGCCCCCATTGCCCGCACCTGCTGTCTAGTAAAGGCTGCTCTTACCTACCTCCACGCTGGGGGGCAAGTGCCCCCTGCAGACCGGGGACCCCACAGTGCTACAGCAAGCTCCAGGTGTCAGCAGCTGATGTGATCACTGACTGTGATCAGAGTAGCAGCCCACTGCCTGGGAAGGGGTTCTGAACCCCATTCACTCTTCTCCTGGGAAAGTGGGCCAAGCATCAAAATCATCTGCCCCCAGATGATTTCTGGGGCTCCCAACCCTCAGAAAATGCATCTTAGCCACTCGCAGAAAGCTCTGTTCAAAGTCCCGGCATATCCTAGGGACTCACGGGGGTTGGTGTCAGCGGCCACCATCCCAGCCTCTGACCTTGGTCAAGCTCTTCTTCTGGGCCTCAGTTTCCCCATCTGAAAGCAAAGACCTTATGGAGTGGGAATAACCTAAAGCCATCCATGCTTGGGTTTGGTCTAAGTGGTTGCTGCGTGGTTTGGACCCCTGACATTTCGGGGGACATCTTGCTGTCCTCCTGTATCACCTGCCTTGACTACAGAAAGTGGGAGAAGCAAGTAGGACAGAAAGCGGTGGAGACTTGCTGTATGGGAATCTGCTGGTTTGTCACCTGCGCCGTGACAGTGGCTTACTAATCCTACTGCGTCCCCTCACCATTGGACACTTGTCCCTCATGTGAGGGCCTGCCTCCCCTAACACCACGTGAGAAAGGAAGAGCCCAGCAAGGAGAATGTTTTCTGGTGCTCTCTCCACGGCAGCCTCACCGCGCTCTGACCCAGCACCCCGCAAGCCCCCACACTTCAGGACTGCTGCTTGCCCAGCCCACAGCCGGCCTAACGCCTGGCCTCATGCAGGAAACCACCTTCCTGGGCCTGCTGGCCCTCCCCTGCTGGCCCTCCCCTGCTGGCCCTCCCCTGCTGGCCCCTGCACTGGATCTGGGGCCTCCCTGTGCTCAGGTACACGTGCAGCTTCCAGCATTTTCTAGAAGGTAACGGAGGCACTGAGTGCAGCCAGCACAGGAAAACCAGGTGTGCCTCTTGCCACACTAGTAGTTTGTCTCCGAGGTGAGATACAAAGGTGGCAGCAGCGGCTGGTTATCCCACTGAGGTGCCTGCCTGGCACAAAGCCCTGCCAAGACCCTGAAGTGGTGTGTGAGGACCCCGGGGTCAAGAAAGGGGACAGCCACACACAAGCAGCCCACGAGGAGCAGGCGCTCGGGCCTTCTGGCCTGTTTCCTCCTTTTATAGCACCCAAGGCTGTGTGAAAGGGGAGGGCACCCCGGCAGCTCCTCCCCGGAGCCACCCAGCATGTGGGAGCTGGCACGGCCTCCCGGCTCTGAGGGGAGTGTGCTTGGACTTGGCCCTCGATTTCAGGCCCTGTTCATCTTGTGTTAATATGCCGCAAGTTTTCCGTGAAACGTTAGGGATGTGGGACTGGACAGTTTGCTGTTGAGACTGTGCGTGCTGTGATGTGGATTGGTACTTGGTTCTTCTCCTTGCCACTGGGTGTTAATCCCAGAGGGAGTAACAGAGGCAGGCGGGGACAGAGAGGACATGCCCGGTCATAAAGGCTCAAGACCCCTCTAGGATCTAAGGCTGTGAACTCTGCACACAGGGGCATGTCCTTCCTCTGGCCTGATGCCCGGCCCACAGCCCAGGGCCCACCTGTGAGAAGCAAGAAGCGGGAGTGGAAGCCAAGGTGCCATTTTCAAGGGTTTGATGGGTCAGTTTACTCCTCGGAAGCATAAGCCAATTTAATGCCATTCGTCCTTTCTTGCAGCTTGAGGGATGTCACATTGTCGATCTGCATCACTAGTAGTTGAGCTGGGCTGGGCCTGTCATGCAGGGCAAGGAGCTGGCGCCCTCCGGTGGCTGTGTCTGGGACTGCTACTCCCACCGAGCCCTGCTGCCCTGGCCCGCGTGTGGTAGCCTGGGGCTGGCGCCGTGCACACAGGTGGGCACCTGCCACGCCCTCCACGCGCAGTCCAGGCCCTGTCTCAAGCTGGTCGCCCCAGCTGCCATGCTGGCCGGCCCTGGAAAGACTGGCAGGCCCCTCACCCCAGCCAGGAGCAGAAACTGGCACCATCTTGAACACTTTTTATTTTTCAGTGGCTCGACCTCTTCCTGGGCCTCTCGTGTGTGTGTTGACCACGTCAGCTCTGCTTCTCTCCACAGATGACTCTGGGGACGACGAGGAGACTGCCTCCCCCACTGACAAGAGCGAGCTGCACCACACCATCAAGAACCTCTCCTTGAAGCTAGACGACCTCAGCACGTGCAATGACCTCATCGCCAAGCACGGGGCGGCGCTCCAGCGCTCCCTGACCGAGCTGGACGGCCTCAAGATCCCAGCCGAGAGCAGCGAGAAGCTCAAGGCGGTGAACGAGCGGGCCACCCTCTTCCGCATCACGTCGAATGCTATGATCAACGTGAGTGCCCCGCACCACTGTCCCGCGTGGGCTCCTCCGAAGGGAAGTGCCCCATCCCAAGGCTGCGGTCCCCGAGGGGTGGCACAGACCAGGTGGTTTCCAGGGGCCTCAAGTCACCCCCCAAGCCGGCTCCCTCGTGTGCTCCTCTGCCACCTCACCCGTGTGGCGGTCGGGGGCAAGGACGTTCCTTTGCATTGTCTGGCAAAGCACAGCCCTAGAGTGAGGGGTTGAAAAGCTCCCCGGGAGGGAGGTCTCTTCCCATCACTCTATTGGTTCCCATGGTAGCCACCCCAGATTCGTCCTCATCATTCAGCTGCTCCCCCAGACCCAGAGCAGTCTCAGGCCTGGCTGCTCGTGAGCACGTGGGGTTCAGCCTTTCATCCCTGGCCCTCACCACTTCGGTTTGTGGTCTGTGTGGAAGCATGGGGGTGCAGCCCCGTGTCCCCCAGCGAGGCGGGTACCCACAGGCGGCCCTTGAGGCCTGAGTTCTGGCTTTGTGACCCTGCACTGGGCAGAAGCCCACAGTGTCACCAGTCATTCTGGGGGCCCAGCGTGCCCCGCATGATGTGGGTGCGCCTGGAAGAGCTCCTGTGCGACCTACATACATAGGCTCACCCCCACCCAACCCTGGGGCCTCGCGGGCCTGGCTGGGGGAGAAGGTTCCACTGCCCTGTCGGATGGCTCTGAGGGCTGGGGGTGCTAGCTAGTGTTGTTACCCTCTGCAGAGCTGCGCCCTGTGGTGGGGCTCCCCCCTCCACCCCCCAGCACCTCTAGGCCCAGTGGGGAGAAAAGCCTGGATGCTCCAACAGGCCAGGAGCCGAGGCGGTGGCAGAGTCCTGATGCCACCTGCCGTGGAGGGGTTTGGGGAGACAGATGCCCTCACAGGGGCCTCCCGCCTCGCAGCTGAGGACACTCTGCCGCCCTCACGGAAAATGATCCAGCCTGCATTTTTGTACAAGCGCACTGCTGCATGGAGAATGGGCTGTGGGTGAGGCAGAGGCAGGTGCTGGGAGTCCTTTAGGGGGCCCCTCTGCGGCCTAAGAGAGCGGGGGGCTGGAACCTGGGAGAGGGCCGGGGTGGCACGAACCTGGGAGAAACAGCAGCTCCTGCTGTGTGAGCCGGGGCCAGCAGAATTGCTTTGCCGAGGAGGCTAGGGCCATAGGTGGGCCTGAGCCGCCCTCCCGGCCCTCAGGCTGGACATGGTCAGCTCAGTTTTGTGTAGACAGTAAGTGAGAGGAGCCAGTGGTGGGCGAGCCCCACGCAAGAGCGAAGCAAAGCAGGTGCCAGTGGGGCAGGGGCAGGGCACCGGCCAGCAGAGCACGCAGCGCCTCACAGCAGTGGCCAGACGCTGCTCTCTGGTGGGTCCTGGAGGAGGGAACACGCTCTGGTGTGCAAGGCAGAAGTGGCTGTGTAGGTCTGGGCCCGTTCCCAGCGGAGGCAGGGGAAGGGGGGGGGAAAGGGGGGGAGGGAGGGGAGGGAGCTGCAAGGAGCTGGAGAGCCAAGCGCAGCAGGACGCAGGAAACACAGGCTGTGGGGAGAAGGGCAGCAACGCAGGGCGCTGGCCAAGGCTTCGGATTTGTGGCCTCGTAGAAACAGGCCTCTCACCGCTGGAAGCTGTGTGGCAGCTCAGAGCCGTGCGGGATCCTGTGGGCTCACCGTGCCCACAGGCGCCCCGAACTGTCCCCCTTGCCTGGGCTCCTGACCACTGACCACTGTGCCACTCCTGACAGCTTGCTCACTTGGAGCCTGGGAAATTAAGTAAAAATAGACTCCAAAAGTGTCTAAAATCAGTTGGCAGACTGGTATCCAGATGGTGCCAGTTCCTGTGTGCAAGAGGTAAACTATTTTGAGCGTTCAGAGGGCTATTTTAAAGCTTGAATCACAGTGAAAAGCTGCTTCCTGATGCTGCGAACCACATCAAGGGGCAGTCCCCTCAGTGTCCGGGGGGGCTGGCCCCTGGCTGTGCCTGGCGTAAGCTGACCCAGCCAGGCTGCGGGAGGGCCGTGCAGCTGCATCTTGGTGGCTCGGCTGGCCTGACCTAGGGGTCCCCCTCGATCTTGGAGGCCTGAGAGGGTCACCTTCTAAGATGGCAGCCTAAGAGCCAGGCGGTCCTAACCATTCAGCCTTGCCCCTTCCTGCCCTGGGAGGAGTATGCGGAGGCCAGCTGCTGCTGCCCAGTGTGAAGGGGGAGGAGCCTCGGCCACCCTGTGTCAGTGCGGCCTTGCAGGTTTCCTCCTTTTCGCCGCCTTTGGACCCCAGGCCAGAGAGAGGCAGGAGTCAGTAATCTACCGTGTGGGGCTCC